GAAGCTCAAAGCATAAACAATTAATAAATAAATTTTCACTCTTCAGGCAGAGATTTTTAATGTAATGATAAACTGGAACTTTTTCGTTCATAAATGTCTTAAAAAATGTTTTCGAATTTAAATTCTTATTATATTAATATTTAGATATTGATTGTTATAAATTATAACAAAAAATGATTACACATGTCGAAAATTCGCTTTCTTTTTGTAGTTACAAAAGTTGAACGTTTTTGGATCTTCTCTTATATTATATTAAGAAACTTATAGCATGTAAATCTTTACGCATTTATATGTATACAATGTATTTATTATAATTTTTATTAATTTACTTAAACATTTAATAATTTTTATTAATTTATTTATAACGTACATTTACAAATATTTAAACTCTAAGTAAATTTTAATATAAACTACGTTTCGTTTCGATATCCTATTACTAAAAAGAAAAAAAAACGAATTAATACTGTATTAACAAATAAAATAAAATAAATATTTAAGAAAATAAAAAATACTTATCTATAAAAAAAAAGGTTAAAATATAGTATAGGTAATACTATATTTTAACCAAAAAAAAAGTTCCTTTCCTCTTCGAAAAAAAAACCCCCACAAATATTAAAAAAATAAAAAACCAAATGAAAATTATTTGATTTTTTCGCAACGTATAGACAGAGCCACCAAAAGCGCTTTGCACGCCCAAGAAGCAGTTGACCGCTCCTATAGTCACAATATGACCTGGTGACCGTGCTGTACATCACTGGCCCCATTAATGCCATCTCGAAAGAAACAAAACCAACCCCTCGTGCGGAATCAGTGGGCATCACAGGACTCAAACGAAATAAAAGGGATGGGTAAAATAATAAGTCAAGTTAAATATAAAAAAGTCGATAAAAATAAAATAAGATGTAATATTCGACTTTTTCGCAACATACATAGACAAGGTACCAAGGCTGTATACCGACTAACAATTAAAAACTGCAGTCACGACGAACCCGGAAATACAAAGCTACGCGTCACTCGCCCATACATGGACTTAGAAATGTGATAAAGGGATAGGGGGGGTTTTTTTTGACTAAGATTGCAAAAGGGACGAAAAAGAAAAGAGGTCTTTAGGTATAGAAGAAGGGATTTCTTAGTCATAGAGTCGGAGAGGAAAGGGGTTTTTTTTTTTAAACATTAAACCTCACCTATTTATATTAGAGATAACGCGTTCGCTTGTGTATATTACGTAATCTTACACGTCTTACATATCTTATATGCAAAAGATTATACCCAGTTTTACGTATTTTTAATCACGTGATGATAATAGTGATAGTCACGTAGTAAAAATATGACATAGGAAAAAAAACTCTGCTTAAATAATTTAAATGATTAATTTATTAATATACAGTATACAGTCTGGTGCAAAAGTCTTTGGACTCTTATTTTAGTTTATAATTCAATAACTAATTAATAATATAATATGATATATATATATACTGTATATACGTATATTATTTAAATATTTAAAGATTAAAATTATTTAAAAAAATTTATTATTATATAATAATATATTTAATAAAATTATATTTGAAAATAAGATGTTTTTAACTATTTTTCATTAACTATAAAAAATAATTATTAAGTATTTTTATATTTTGCTAAAGAAATTTATTAAATTATAACTAATAGAATTATATATAATTTTTTTATTATCTCTTTATTAACAAAAAAAAAAAATTATTTAGATAATATATAATTATTAAATTTTAATAAAAAATTTATATTTTAAGAAAAAAATTTATATTTTATTAAATACTTATAAAAGAATTTTTTTAAAAGAATTTTTATTTGATTTTCTTAAATTATTATCTTTAAAATTAATTTTTTAAAATTATAATAAATTATAACAGTTTTAAAATATATTTTATTTATAAAAATAATTTTATTATTTTATAAATATAATATAATTGGTTGTTATATATTTTTTTAAAAAATAATATTATAAAAGTTTTTTTGTAAAAAAAAATAATAATTGAAGTTTAAGAATATATTATTTATATAATTAAATTTTATATAAATTGTTTTGATTTTGAAAAATTTATTTATATTTATATTATATAAATAAATCTTAAATAATTATAGTAATTAAATAATTTATTTTTAGTTTTACAAAATAATTAATTATTATTAATTAAATTTAATTAAATCTTAAAATTAAAAAAATTTTTTTATAAAATTTATAAAAATTTAAATAATTTCTTAAATTTATAAGTAAATTATATAATAATATAATTTATAACTATTTTAATTATATTTGTATTGTTGTGTGTTTATTTATAAAAAAAATAAAAAAATAAAAAATAACTATCTTAATTATAATAATATTTTTTTATAATTAAAATATTTCCAATATATATACTATATATTTAATATAATTTGTAAAATCTTATCTTTTAATACTTTATATTTGATATATATAAATATTTAATATATTAAAATTTTCATTTATTGTTTAATATTATTATAGAACAATATCAGTTCAAATTTATATTAGTTTTAGTAATATTATTATTGTATTTATAAAAAAAACCTTAACAAAAATAAGAAATAAAAAAAAGTTTTTAATTAAAAAATCTTTAACAATTTTAAAATTCAGACCATTAAAAAATTTTATTATTATTTGTATTAATCAAATTATTTAATTTTTATTATTCTATTAATAATCAAAAAAAATTAAAAAAACTTAAAAAAAAAACTTATATTTTTGATCTCAAAAACTTATTGTCTAATCACTTTCTTAAAATAAATATTAATTCATGATTTCTTCTTGTATTGAAATATATTTTTTTCAAATTACTAAGAGAAAAAATCAACAAAAAGAAAAAGAAAAAGGAAAAAACATTTAAATAAACATAAATAAAAAATACATCTCAACACTTCTTTTCTTTGATTTTTGACCTTTGTAAAATGTGAAAAAAAGAAGAATACAATGCTTATTTACTTGCATGCCACTTCCAGAATACATTTTATAATAGATCTAAGATTAAAAATAAATTTCAAAATAATTTAACATATAAAATTTTATAGATTAATTATGTTCCTTTTGAAGAGAACAACCATTTACTTATCATTTTAATAGAAACAATAATCAAACACTTGGATTAAATAACTTGCAAAAAACCTTTGTAAGTAATTTTTTTTTATCTTAAATTTAAAAAAATTTTTTAGGGTTTAACAAAATCTGGATGTATAATATCACTCCCACATTTTTCAAACCTATTATTCGAAATTATTATTTTGTTACACTAGCATTTAATCTGATCCACGTAAAATGACAAATCAATTGTGATGTGAGTATAACCACAGCTATAAAAATCAGTGGAGCTTTGATATAATCAAGAAAAACTTTTGCTGTTGTCTCTTTCTACTCGCATTGCATACAAAAAAGCAAAATAAAACTTGCCACATTGTATCAGCTCCGCTTATAAATCGAGCATAATAGCAAAGACACATAAATCAATTCTACAAACAAAAATATCTTCAATTGATTTTCTACCATATCGGCTCCTCATACAAAAATGCATCAATGTAACATCCCAGAAGATATACCTTTTATGATTTTTCCTGCCTTGTTTTTCTTCCTCGCAATGAAACCGCTGTATATGGGATTCATCATCGCATGTCTCTATAAGATCAATAATGCGTACAATGCAAAAATCGGCGAAATCAGAGTCGAAATTGACGATCACATGGCAAAAAATAATTCCCCGCGATGCTAATTATGCAACAGAAGAACAGAATATCATCTCCATGATTAATATGTCTGGGAAATATAACGAAGTCAAACAGGTTCTAGAAACCTACCATAATAATTTTAGTCGAATTGCAACTGATTTCGAATCGATCAGTAGAATCATTACATCGCTTCAGAGCGAAATCAATCAACGACACTCCCTTTTCCAGAATACTAATAAGAGAGGATCTGACCAGCAAAGCGAGGCTTCGCCATCTTCTGCTCGTTCATCATATTCTTCGGATTCAAGCCAAAATCTCGAATATCATTCCTGTAATCCGGGAACAATTTTCGGATACCTTATTACTGTTAAGGGTGCGAATGATTATACTTTAGATCAGATGTGTAATGTTGTATTGGCCGATATTCATAACTTGGGATGGGAGCAATTGGAAAGATACAATAAAGGGTTTTACAATGGAATAGTATAAGAAGCGAAAACTTAGAAAAGATAGTACATAAATATCTTTCGCAGAACGGTAATCAACTATATGCTCTATCATGTAATTCCTCTCAAGACACGTGAATGTTGCTTTCATCGACCGAACATTGACACAGTGAACGTAGGCAATGACATCCTTCAAGATCTAACCTCACCGTCATTATTATTAACGGTATACACTGAAATAATACATAGCACTTTCCGCAAACAATATCCCAACTCCTACAAAAGAAATCGCGGTATTTGGCAACGTCCAAGTTAAGCCACCCATTACCGTCAACCCTATCCCAGTAATTATTGGAACGATGATAAATAATGCGTTTTGAAACTTATTAACCAATTTTTCTGTTATAATAAAACCGATGACGGAAAGTAAATTGATCACAGCATAAACAATATTGAGATAATGTCGCTATCAAAATAATCAATTAATCGACGCCACCACTAACATTTATAACAAATATTAGTGAAAAGTTCAATGGCAAATGTACACCATCTAAGCAAACGTATTGATTTTTTTCTCTCCTCTTGCAAAAAAAGGAGTTTCCCTTGATTGTCGAAACGAACGTATAGTCTTCGTTGGGGTCTACTCAGGGTGTTATATATTTGCAGAAGTTGTGGATCAGTAGGGACACCAGTGACTGTAATAGGAGCTGGAGTAGCTTTAGTAGCTGTAGCAAGAGCTGGAGTGGTTTCAAACATTTTATTGGATTTGGGATGAGAGGGAAACAAATCAGAATGAATCACGGCCATCTGATTTATACATGACTGTAAAAAATGATTGCCATAACAACGTAGATTTTGTTTTTCCCGATTATCGCATAAATCGACGCGATATTTTTATCGTCTCATTTAAATAAATCTACAAATATATAAAACACAATATTCAACATGTCTTCCGAACTTGATTTACTCAAATAAGAGCATGCTAAACTTGTGGTCGAGAATGCTGAGCTTAAACACGAAAACTCAGAACTAAAACAGATTATAGAAGACAATACCGAGTTTAAGGCCAAAATCATGAAACTGGAACAAACTGTTTATAAAATTGAGAAACAGAATCAAACTATTGCTGATATCCCGCAGTCTCCAGTTTGTTCATCATTGCCAGTAAGGTTTGTAAGTTAAGTACATACATTATCGCGTTAATATTATCCTTGAATACTTCTTGTTGATACATACTTTTATTTTGGGGAATTGGTAAATAGGTGAATTGATTGCATCGGATTCCAACTTTGAAATAGCTCAATTTAACGCTCTGACAGTATTTTATTTCTCATCAACATTGATCCTTTTGCCTAGGCTAATTCCTCATTCTTAAGCATTATCTCATTTTTTTTATATAGTGAGTTTTCCGCCTCCTATTTATCCCAGTCACCTGGGAACCAATGTTCTCGTCAATCGCCCTTCGAATTATTTAGCTATATTTTAAAAAATATTTTTCTTACTCACGGCATTAGCTACTATCTTAAAACATAAAAGCTTGGGCTGCTATGTCACTGGTAAATATTCATTTTTCAATGATGCACGTGTTATTTGGCATTCATTTAATGACTCTTCGTTTGCTTAGATTATAATTTTCATGATAGTTCCTGGACACATGTGGAATCAAATTCGAGAAATTCCATACATAATCTCTCAGAATGGTCAGATCAGTTATATTGCACAAGCAATTTCAAATAAAATTGTAGCAATAAAATATTGTGTATGATTGATATTCGCATGGACCAAGTTACTTCCTGAATTTAGATAAAAATAAAAATAATAAGAGAATTCTTTATTTGATATACTGTATATGCCGCTTGTACGTTTTCAATTATTTCTTTAATATTAACTGTGCCGGAAATTGGATGTATTATATAAGTACAGTAAAACCTCTCTAAATGCATTTACTATGTTTTCTCTCACTAAATGTACGGTCAAGCTTGGTCCCAAGTACATAGAACATTTAATAAAATCACCTCTCTAAATGCACTGTATATATATATCTGTTTTTAGCTTATTTGTCAAATAGTCTTAAAATAATATTTACATGACTTTTTAATATCTAGAATTGATGTAATTTATTTTATCAGTTTTTAATAGTCTTAATTCTATCTTTAATAAAAAACGCATGATCCGGAAATTTCACACAAATTCGCCTGCATGGTGTGCTGCACAGGTGATGCACAGGTGCCGTAGGAATGTTGCATACAAGAACACCTCCGTGTCTTTTATTTTGGAAAAAGAATCTCCGTTGCATGATGCACGATCATACCAGGAATTCGGTGTTTCTCTTTCGAATTGTTGATCGGCATTTTTATGTCTATCGTTTTCGTTTCAATGATATAGTGGATAGTTTATAGTCTGATTCTAAAGAATTATTACTATTAAACAATAGAGATGCCGGGGGTGTTGCGCTGGAAAACTGTAGGATCGGTGTTTCACTTTCGAATTGTTGATCGTGCCTATCGTTTTCGTTTCAATGATATAGTGGGTAGTTCATATTCCGAATCTAAAGAATCATCACTATTAGATGACGGAGATGCCGGGGGTGTTGCACTGGAAGTGATTCCTTCTTTTTAAATGTAAGACCCAAGAAGTCTTCACCTCAATTGCTAATAGCAATTTGCCATCCTGCTTGTATATAAAGTCAGGATCTCCCATAACTAAATCCTAACTCGAGATCCTCATATATTTTTCTCTAGGATGGCGTGAAGTGGTGATTCTATTCAGATTCTCTAGGATATTTACAAACAATGCCTGTCTTACATCCTCCTCGTTGGAAATATCGTCTACTCCACGATATCGATGAAACCTGGGTCTTTTATACTGCCTGGCAGTATTATCAGATCTATAAGATTGGAATTCATTTAGAAATGAAGTCCAACCTCTGACCAGATCGGGAGTTCGGGCAGCTGTGGACTTTGTGGTGGATGCGCTTTTCCTTAATTTAGGATAGCGTATCCGTGGAGGTACCACCATTAATAGTTCTGCCTCTGTTTTTCTTTTTTTGTTCTCCGATCCTAAAAAAAATAATAACTTATTTAATATAGTATAATATTAACGATGCATGCAGCTAAATTATAACTTACCGGCAGACCCAGGTATCTGGTTTTTTTTTTCCGAAGCTTCACGATCCTATAATAAAGCATATTAAAATTAATAATAGTACCAATATGCAGTATAAGTTTTTATATTGTTACTTACTTTTTTATGCTTCTTAAATTCTTTTATAAATCGTGAGCGCTTGGAATTAACCTAATATAAAAAAGATAACTATTAATTAAAAGAACATTTGACTATATATAAAATTCTTACAAACTTATATAACGCAACATCAATTTTAGTTAAGACGATAACTTATTCTTACTTTTGTGTATAATATTTTTAAGATTTGATATTTGAAATATAAGTCATATAGAGTATTTTGCTTAGACTGAGAGATAGTGCGCGAAACAAGCTATATTGTACGTGTCTATTGTTAGGGCGAAAACGGTAAGTCTGTCATTAACCCAGAACAGCATTCGCATATTGTTATGAATTGTTGGAGGGTCGTTTTTTTTTGAATCACAAATTACCTTGTGGCCTTATAGATTATCCTTTTGGGTGACTGAACTAATTATTCACGATTATTTATAGTAGTGTAGACGCGTCATACAACAACTTGATGCATCAGTGGTGACGCGCCACCCTTGAGTCTATCTATTAAAAATCACGTGATAAGAATCACGCTTGTATACATTTTGTTATTACGAAATACGTGTATTAATATTATTAAAAAAAAAAATAGCAATTTAAAAAATCTAATTTTATATTAATTACAAAAAATAATTAATAATAAAAATAATCAATTATTAAATTACTTCAATATACAGTATAAATAAGTCAAATATACAGAATGTTACAAAAAAATAACAATTATATTTTTATTTATAATTTAATAAAAAATCATTAAAATATAAATATAATTTTAAATATAATTGAATTAATATTCAAAAGATAAATTTTAAGTTTTTTTTATTAATTATTTTATTGTTTTAATTTAATATTTAATCAAAGCATAAGAAAAAAAAGCTTTAAAAACAAAATTTATTTTTATTCAATTATAAATCTGAAAAAATAATACTTTTATTATTATGTAATGCAAAACTATAATAAAATTTCATAATCAAAATTATATTTTTGATAATTCTGATATTATTTTCATTAAAAGATTCAAATATAACAATTAAATTATAGAAAATTTAATACAAGAAATGATTTGTAATCAAATATAAAATATTATTCCTTTTAAAATCAATTTTATTTCTTTAAATAAAAAAAAGTCTATATACAAGATATGATTTTAAGCTTTGTACAAAGTTATTAGACTTATTTTAATAAAATAATTAAATCAAATTAAAAACAAATTTTATATTATTATTATTATTATTTAAATTTTGAAATAAGATTAAAAAACCTTATAACAAATAAAAATATTAAAATAAAATAGCAAGATTAAAAAATATATAAGGAAATAAAATCTTTTTTATTTAATATTGCAAATGTAAATTTATGAAAAAAATCAAAAAAAGCTTAAAAAATTTTTAAGTTATTTGATAAAGAAAGAAAATCATATTTAATTCGAAATTATATTGTTAATCAAATTTTTTTTTTTTATAATAGAATAAATATTAGATATCAATTATTTATTGATATATATAAATATCTAAATAATATATTAAATATTATCTATAATTTTAAACTATAATTAAATATTAATCTATTCTATTTTTTATTACTCTAGTAATACTAATAATTAAGATTTCTAATGGTATCACTAGAGCTCCTAATAGTATTATTTCAATACCTGTTCAATATTAATTCAATACTTAAATTTATTATAAATTTATATGAGTAAATTATAATTTATATATTAAATTTATTATAAATTGATACTATTTTAATACTACTTCAGTATTGATTTAATACTTTTCGAACCCTAGATACTACTTCGATATCTATTTGATATTAGTTTAATACTTAAACTTATTATAGATCAGTATTATTTTAATATCACTTTGTTACTAATTCGATACTTTTTGGAACCCTATTAATAATATTCTTAAAGTAGGTTCATATTTTTGAAGGAAACTTATTTAGAGAATGAAAATCTTACCATTAGTTTTAAACTATCTAATCTATTGATCCAATTTTATATAAGAACAATAGATACTGTTGACTATTTTCTAAGTTACTTATTATATTATACTTTTTTGCTTATATAACTAATATAATAGAGAAGTTACAATATAATACAGTAGCGGTCAAAAATAATGAGAATTTTAATCACATGACTTAATTTGTTACTCTTCGAAAATTTTATTATGTAATATAAAAAAATTTTTTTTTATTATAAAATAAACACGTATATCAATATTTGTACAACACGTAAGTCACCTATTACACGTATTTGTCTCACAAATTGGGCATATGTCACCTCAATCAAGACTTGTAGATCAGCGAGCGATCGTAAGGCAACTTTGAACAAAAAAAGTTCATGAACCAAAAAAAATCGCCGCAATAACTCATATACCGCTTTCTACTGTCTATCGCTATATAGCCAAACTCAAAAAAACTGGAACTTTGTCTCCTCGTGGTCGTTCTGGTCGACCAAAAATTATCTCTATAAAGCAA